TTATAATCAGTCACAAGAATGTCGAATCTGAATCACTTGAAAAAAACACGGGGGTGCTTAACTTTTTTCCAGGTGTATATTATGGTGTTTTCAGTACAGAGAATTGTTTATTTTGTCTTCATTTTGAAATTTTCTCTTGCAATCTCCAGATCAATAAACTTAGAAGCTCTTATGCTAAATCTAGAAAGCCAGTAAAATTATGATGGTGCATGCTATTATTCTGTGTTCTTTGGTGCATTATTTAAGTAAATAAAAATGATTTAGTGTACTGGTACCATTAGTATAAAAGAAAAGTAGGCTTAAATTTCTTCATCAAAGGACAGCAAAAAAATGAGGCTACAGGTAAGTAATATATTTCTTGTTTTTCATGCATATTCTTTAATTATTATTATAAAAGTAACTATGATGTAAAACTTAGAAACTATTAGGTTAGATAAGATTAAGTTAGGGAAGATAATGAAAAATAATAATAACAGTAAAAGTTATTCACAAGGTATGTTTGCAAGTAGCTCATGTGTAATGTTATTTGATATGGTAATGTGAGATACATGTTTGAGTGATTTACAACTCATGTGGCAGGATTATTAGTTAGACACAGGTCAAAGGGCAATAAAACAATAAAATTAAGTATAAACATATGCATAATGTTATGAGCTTTAAGCTATTTAGGATAAACAATTGTTGTATCCATTTACAATTTGTAGTCATTATAGAAAAAAGAAAGGGTAATTTAGATATATTTTTTTTGTTGTTACAGGGTTGGTGAAATCAACTGAGTTAGGGTAGAGAAAATAACAGATAAAATATAATGTTTTAGTGAAAAAAAGTTTGATATTTTTAGTTAGATATTTAATAGTTTTAGGAATTATTCAAATAAAATTTACAATTTTCAGATGAATTAAAATTTGAGCAATCAACACTCTGACTTCATCTATTCATAGTCAACTTTTTAATAAAAATAGTTAATTAAAAATTCTTATTTTTGTGTACAAAAAACTTGTAATGTTTACTGAAAGCTTGCCAAGTTTCGTAAGGATACACAAAACATATTAAAAGTTATATTATGGAAACTGAAGGTCACTTCAGGTTTATGGACTTGTTTGAATCGATCAATCCCATAGCAAGAGTATTACCAAAGATTTTTGTTGACTTTTTAATGACAAACTATTTTTATTGGAGCTTTTTTTCATCTTCTGAGTGAGAAATTTTTTTTACTGAATTTTTTTACAAATATTAAAAGAAAATTCCCTCCCCTATTTTTTGACAAATGCTCTGTCCATTTGTTATGTGACAAACATTTTCTATTGAATTATTCATTACATACAGCTTTACAGGACACCCAGTAATGGGTGGTGTATGCATGTTTTCATAGTGGGCACACTTATCTCAAACTGAAACTAACTATCATAGTTACAAATTAACTAACTTATTATAGTATTTATTTTTATGATGTAAATAATTCAGCCAGAATCCATTATGTTTTTTTATCAAAAGCTGGTAAGTACAAACCTAGTTGCAGACAAAACAAAAATGCCCATGCTCCCAATGAATCCTATAAAAACCCTGGAGGCCAGTAATTAAGTGACAGTGTTTTTCTGCTGAAGATTTTGATAAATGTTCTTTGTTGGAGGACTCCTCAATTTTCAGTTGGGTGATAAAATTTCTATGAAGTTTTTGACCACCTGCTTGGTAATAAACATTTCTCTGTTGGAAGATTTATCAGTTTGTAATTAGTTTGTATTCTTCTCCCAAAGTTTTTCCACTTGCTGGGTGACAGAGATATTTATTAGAAGGTGTTTCCATCTACTGAGTGACAAATCCTTGTGTATTAAAAGTAGTATTTTCACCTGTTAATTAATCATTTTTCTATTAATTAACCTACATTATCACAAGCAAGTAAGTTTGAGGTAATCTTTATTTAACAAGATTCAGTTCACAATTATCAATGTCTTTTAGACTGTCTTAACATGTTTTGGGTTTTTATAGGTTTTATATGCACATATATGTAGGTTTATTATTTTATGTCAACAAACATAAAAAATACACCTTTTCTGTTTATTTTTTGTTGACTCACAGAGAAATGTAGTAAAGTATAAATTCAGTAAATCAAGATTTCATTACTTTCATTCCATTGTTGAACTACTTGGAACCATCTTGCTTCTTGTAAGCAGTACTTACAAAAGAGCAAAACAGATACTTACAGATTTTTGTGAGCCATGGAATTTAACAATTGTGGTTTTATGAAGATGTTAGCTGTAAGCTTAGAAAATTGTTTTATTAGTTCTTTAATTTTTTTAACATTTACTTTTCATCAGAACAGTCTAGTAGATAGTTTTTGTGGTTCTTACTGTGTTCCAAATCTAAGTGTTTATCAAATATTTTTAATAATTTTTTTCTTTTTAATTGTTCCTGTACTAAGTTATGACATGAACAATTAAAGCAATTGACTCTTGTAAACAGTCAAGAGAAGGCTGATGATTTCAGTAAAGAAACATAAACAGAAAAGTGATATGTTTTGATCTTTCCAAAATAGTTAAGTTAGAAATTATGTTTGTTTTTCAGTCTTTTAATATGTTTGAAATTGGATTGAAAAGTGAAACTGTGTGAATGTAATAACTTTATTATCATATTTAGAAATGGTATATTGATTTGTGTAGATCATACACAAGGATTCAAGTACTGTACGGTATTTGTTTTTATGGTTACTTTTACTCCAAAATGCATTCATTGGTGGTCTTTAGGTTCAAAATAAGTATCAAACAAAAAACCTGCTGTTGGCGTATATCCAATATGTAAAGACGTTTTTTGACCAAGTTAAAGTAAAAAAGGAAATATTTTTAAAACCAAAGAACTTTGGCAGTTTTACATTAAGTTTCTTAGACATTGTTTTGTGTATGTATTTAATTTAGTGTTATTATTGTTAACAAAAAAAGAATAAAAAATGTATCATTACACCAGTTGCTATCACCAGAAATTTAATTTTATATGGCAAAAGTTATGTCAGTATCCCAGACAGACAGTGTTTGTCTAGGACTTTGATGACAGTTGTCTTCTTTTTTTTTACAACTGTTGTGTAGGTTCATAGTACCAGTAAAAAGTTACTTTACCAGTTGGATCACTTGGTACAGATATGTCATCAACCCAAAGTGGAAGGATCCTCTCGCAAGCATGTAAGACTTTTTCTTTCATATTTTGTATATACATATGTTGCAGAAATATTCTTATTGTAGAAAAATCAATCATTTTTTTAATTGTACATATGCACGTACATGAGATTGTAGGTACATTTATGTAAAGTACTAGCGAAATACCTGGCTTTGCTCGGGATATTAGGTTGATATATACTAGATTACTATGTCAGTGTGTGTATTCTGAACCTATTATAGATAGAAGAACAGTCAAAAATGTTTTAAAACATTTTTATTTTCCAGAACATAAAACAAAACTTCGTAAAGAAAGTATAGTAAATTAAGAATTATTTATTATCAAAGAACTTCATCATTGCATTAAATATATCACATTTTATCAGAATCTATAACAATTTTTTACTGTTGTAGTGCTTCAGGTTAGACAATATTGGTTGTTTTCGTAAAGAACTCAGACAGACACATACAAACACGCTGTCTAATAATAATATTATTATTATAATATAATATTATTATAGAGTTACTAGGTTGATATATTCTAGATGACTATTGTCAGTATGTGTATTCTGAACCTATTTTAGCATAGAAGAATAATAAAAAATATTTTAAACATTTTTATTTCCCAGAAACATAAAGTTGCAAAGGTACAATGATAATAAAGTTATTATAGATATATATAGATGCCTCTATATGTCACACTATCTAACCTTTATAAAAGCCAGTGTATGTGTCACGTCATGCTTGATTTCTCGAAGTATGAGGTGTCATAAAAGCAAAAATGCATTTATTCAAATAGAATAGTTCATTTTGTAATTTATACATTTCATTTCATACTTTCAGCATATAGATTAACAACAATATTAGGTTATACTTTTATTGCTAAGCAACATAACATAAAAGCCATTGTTAGAATGCGTTGTTACCAAAATGCAATGGCTTTTTTCTATTAGAAGTTGTTGTATGAGGAGCTGCTTCTTTTATATGTAGTTTTTTGTTAGCTTGTCTCATTAAAGAGATGCACAGGCACATGTGCGTGTCTGTCTGTCTGTGATTTCAATTTAAAATATAAGGAATATACCATTAACTAAAGCTTGATACAATTATTGACAGTATTGATTCTAAATAACCAACTTATTCACCCCATCGTGATGTTGAGAAAAACAGTTTTCATTTATTTGGTAACCAAAACTAAAATGCCATTGAGAAATTAAAGATTCATACTAAATGTTATTAAGAAAAACTACTCATTATTAGATAGCTAAGAAAGTGTCATTGATGCAATGAAAACATAGTACCGATATTACAAAATGGAACAGTATAATCACTGTTTTGGGAAAAAAACTGTTACTGCTACACAAAAGGTCGATTATGCTATTTTTGAGAAAATTAATAATCAATGACTTGACAACTAAGAAGATATTGTTAGTACACCAAAAAGGTCCTACTGATGTTGTTGATTATTCTTGACTTGATAGTACCTCAGAGAATTTCATTCATATATCACACTTCTATGTGGTTTTTTCTACCTTACCTCATAAAAAGATGCACATGCATGTCTGTCTGTGATTTCTATTTGTAATATAAGGAATTACTTCATTTCTATGTGGTTTTTCTCTAGCATGCCTCATTATGTAAGCTAGAGGTTTCTAGGTTGTTTCCTCTTGATGTTATGGCAGTCATATATTCTTTTCTATGTGGTTTTTTTTGCTAGCTTGCATCATTAAAAAGATATGCACGCTTGCATGCACATGGATAAGTAATAATACCCAGGTGCACACCCTCAGGGTCCACTTAGTATGTGTGCAAAATTTCAGGTCTCTAGGTTCTTTCCTCTTAGAGTTATGGTGGTCACAGAGACCCACAGATATGTCCTTTTTATTATTATAGATGATATATTTAACATCAAGAAAATGTTATTTTTTCAAAATGCACATCTAGTTTGCCTTTTTTTTGGTAATTTGTACTTCATTAGATTTATTCTGGAATGTATGTCATCTATATTTTATTGATTTTCAATTGTTTATTATTTAACTAAGTTTAGAATGTGTGCTTTATCTAAGAAAATGATGATCTTTTAATACAAATATTGAGGTTATTTTAGTAAAAACACAATGTATGGTGTAATCATAATGCTATTTTTGCATATTGTTAGTTATTTTTATACATATAAAATAACTGTCCCATTTTTATATGTTTCAGCAAATGAATGAGGGAAAAGGGATGTTAACCAACATGAATAATCATGGCAACAATCACTATAGTAACCCTGCAGCTGACTACTCAGAAGGAGCTAAACATGTGCTGTCTGTAATTCACCAGATTTTAGGGAATCACCGATCACTTGAATCAATGTGGCATGCTAAGAAGGTCAAGTTACATCAAAGATTAGCTCTTGGCCTTTTTCAAGAGGATGTGAGACAGGTGAGGAAAAAGAAAGTGGGAGAAATAAAAAAAAGGGATAGTGATGGTAATACTCTCAAAAAAGGAAAATATGGAAGTACAAAGAAATTTCATGAATTTTTGGCACAATACAATATTACATATGTACGTGTAACCTGAAAAGGGGGGAGGGGGTAATTAAAACTTAATCATTTTTTTAACAAACTAAACTGTTTTGCAATTTAATGATTCAATTATTTTTAGAATTACACTGTACAGTTTGGACTGACCTATACCATAACAGCTCTTTTTTTCCACAGAAGCTCATCAGTAACCAAAGCCTTTTACATTATATTGCAGATTGTAGTTACATTAGCTTTAAAAATATTTATTTATGTATTTAGAATTAACTAATATCCATAAGTAGAAATATCAAACATCAATATTGTAGTAATTACTGTTGTTATTTACTGTAATAAAGATAATAATGCACATGATTAAATTAATTAAATGAATATAAGTAAAGCAAAAAATGATCTGATGGCTGCGGAGCAAGAGAACCTGTCTTTAATGAAGTGAGCAAAATGAAATTCTAATAAACATGTTATACTGCTTTCTCAGTATGCTTGCTACATTTTTATTCCCAGTTGGTTCTAAAGTGGTTTTCTTAATTATTTTTATTCATATAAAAAGTGTGATTGGTAGGAAGAAACCATACATCTGATCTCTAGAAATGTAAGGAATTACTAGTTTATAAAGGGCATATTTTCCTTACACCTTTGGGACCTTTATTTTTTATGTTCTAATCTGTTTTATTGAATTTTTTATGTCACTGGTTAGAGAAGTTCTGAACTGTTTTTTTTTTTATCAGATATTTCTTTTCCTGTTGATTTTTGCATTTTGTCTGGCAAATTAAACTTCAATATTTTGTGTTCTATTTACATTATATACTTATGCAAGTTATCTTTGATTTGATTAAAAATCTATATATTAGAGTAATTGAATAGTAGTGAGTAATACTAATTGAATTAAATGATTGTGTCTGTATATGGAGGTGTCACGTGCTTAGACAATGATTTGTGGGTACAATGAATACTAGATACCTTTTTCCTTTCTCTGTAAAAGGTAGTGGATTGGCTGGATAATCACGGAGAAGTGTTTCTTCAGAAGAACACGGGTGTTGGCAAAAATCTCCAAAGAGCTCAAGCTTTACAGAAAAGTCATGAACATTTTGAAAATGTTGCTCAGGTAAATGTGTTGATGTTATAAGAGAAAATTTTTTAAGTATGCAAGTTTCAAATTATATTATGATGGTAAATATATTAATAATTCCAAATAAACATATTCAGGGGAATAAATCCATAATTCACACTAACTTGTACAAGTCTCTGTACCAGCCCTTTGAATGTATACGTCCCTACTTCTGGAGGGCATGACACATAAACAGGGCCAAGCAAGCATGCGTCTATGTAGGATGCATCTTTTATATAGAAAAATTAAAACATGGCTTCTTTCTAATCCTTCATAATATTTATTTATGTATTTTAATTGAAAAATTTGGAAACTAAAGTTATAAAACTCTCGATTATTTTGGGCTGTGTTGCCAAGAGTACTTTTAAGTTTCATTTTTATGAAGTACCTAGTGTAAAGGTCAAAATTGTTTAAAGTGTGGATGGAAGATTACTAAAAGTATAAACAAAAGTTGCATTTTTAGGTATTTTTAATTACTTAGAGAAATAAATACTATTTTTGATTATATCATCAAGCAGTGGTACTATAAGAGCTTTGATTGTTTGTAGTTTTATATCACTGAATATTAATGATCATGCCACTTGGAAAGTATGTTGAATTACAGAAGTAAATAAAAACTAAAAAAACCAATACTATGAGTTCTTTAGACTTATAAACCAGGAATTAGAATTTGAGTACTACAAGTATTTAGTGAGATTTACAGACACAAAGTCTGATTAGCAAGTTGAAAATAATGTCATTAAAACACTTTAAAATAAAAAGAAAAATTTAACAGCTTGGCCATTATATGGTTCCGAGACTTCAAAACATAAAGTAGATCAACATGTCTAAATACTGGCAACAAAGCTTGTATACAATTGGCATGAAGCAAGATATGAATACTCTGTGTATCTTAATAAATACATTTTAGAAGTAGCTAGACATTGTACAAGTGCATTGTGATTCAGAATTTCTTCTGTGTAGGCTTTTTTGACAAGGAATATTCTTAGATGTGAATTGGTATTTTTTGTATGATATATGTCTTTTCTGTCTAAGATTTTCTTAGGCATGCTGAATAAATATTCAGTTACATCTTATTGTTAGTTCTTAGTTTAGTAACTTTTTTCATTATGTATGTGCTGGTGTTTATTGTTTCTCTCTCTATTGGATTTAAAAACATGTGTATGTTTTCTACCAGAATTACAAAAAAGACAGAAGTTTTATAATAACATAACGTTTAGAAAATTACCAAACTAAGATGTAATAAAAAGTTGGCCAAGGCAAAGTGAACCACAAAAAAAAATTAAAATAAATCAAGCATATGTGGTTATCAGTGAAGTTGCCAAAAATGTGTTCTGTGTGGATAAGGAGTGATTCATGAATTCCTCCTTTTTTTTTTTATAAAGGTTTTCTTAACAAATTTCTTAAGTCCAGTGGTTTTATAGTATCCTCAAAGTGTGATTAATCATTGCCTCTCTTATCTGTTATGAATCTGGCCACTACTGATCCACCACCACTTGCAGGATGAGGTTTTGGCCATGATGTTTCGTAAGTTGTAAACTATCTTGTGGCCTGCTATGCCCCCACAAACTTGCATGGATATCCCTTTTCTGGAGGAATGTGGTCCTAATGATAAGGATTTGGGCAGCCTTTGCCACACCATCCTGTGCTATCTCTCTGGATTTCCTTCATTCTCCTTCGGTTGTTTTGGACACGATTTCCCAGGTATGTTACGTATTGTCTCTCTTCCATCCACCTACTTTTTGAGGCTATCTACCATTCTCTTGAGGGATTTTTGGAGGATAAACGTACCCTTGTCTTTTAATTTTTGGTATACTTATCTTCCTTAGCCTTATCCCTTCATACATGGCTCTTATGTTGTTGGGATCTCTTTGGCAGGGATGCCCTCTTGTCTCACATGCGTTTACCTGCTTCTAATTTGCGAGACCTCTGTCTGGTCATTTTTTTTTATGACAGTCTATTTTTGGGGATCTTCCTGATCCTTTGGAGTCTTGGATGGAGGCTGTACATCAATGCATTCTCTCCACTACTGGTGACACTTTTCTGGGTTTCTACAGTGAAAAATTACCTGCTCTCATGTTTTCTGACATCAGTTTCATCAGTGACTATGCTATGGGTTCTGGCACTGTGCACCTGTCCCATTCATTGCAGACCCTTCAAGATGCTATTTCACAATATTTTGCACAAGGACAATATCAAATAAGTATTTCACACTTCTCCAGGGTTTTATTTCTGGTTGTTTGTGATTTCCTAAGAAAACCAGGGATTGGTGTCCTGTCATCAATCTCTCCAACATTTCATCATCCTCCCAAGGTTCACCATTGAGTCTTTCCTTACCCTTTGTTGGTCGTTCATTCCAGGTCTTTGGATGACCAAGGTTGACATTTCAGATGCTTACCTTCATATTTCCATCTCTCTAGCATCCAGACGATACCTTCAATTTGTTTGAGGGGTTGAGTGTTTCAGTTCTGTGCAGTATCTTTCAATCTGGCATCTGTGCCATACGTTTTCTGTCGTGTGGTCAGAGCCCTTGCCCACCATCTTCACACTTAGGGTTTGTAGTTCCATCATTACACAGATGACTGTCTCCTTTTAGCTATGTCCCCAAAGTCTCACAAACATCCCCATTTTCTCCTATAGGAGGCAGCTTGTATGGAATGGTTTGTCAAGCTGGAAAAGTCCAACCCTATCCCCACACAATATTATCCATTTGGGAGTATTTTTTCAACACTTACCTCAGCAGGGACGAGCCTTCTCCTCTTCATCTTACGTCAATGGAACCCTTGATTTCCAAAGCCATTTTTTACTCTGTTCATTCTGTTCTGTTTTGCTGATTCGTTCACCCTGTCAGATTTCCCTACCTGATTGAAATATCATTGTGATCCTTTGTAACCTTACCCTTCCTCCCTTTGAACCTTTGACCACTTGCTTATTGTACCACCTCTCCCTCCAGAAGTATTTCTTATGCCTCTTTGCATATGGTTTTCGTATGTCAGATATCTTTGCTACTGACGTCTCTTGTATCCTCTATCACCATGCCTGTGTTCTCTTTTATCCAGATCCTAGTTTTCCCCCAAGATGTCAGCAGTGTATGAAGGGGACATCACCTTAGCTCGTATTTCCCTCCCTCCATCTCTCTCCTTTATTCCCGTCCAATCCCAATCATCTCCTTTGTCCACTACACGTTCTGCTTTGTTATGTCGTCAGCACTGCTTTCTTCAATGGATTTTGTTCTTGCCTTTTTATGCCATGGAATACTTCCTCTACCCGTGATTTTTCCCCTATCACACTTACTACTGATTCACTAGTTTATTTGTCTTGCTTGTGCATCATTATCTGAGAATTCTCGTCGCATTTACCAAGCTTCCTCCCACTAGAGACGTCAAACCTTTCCCTCTTCCCACTTCTGTTGTCCGTTAGAAGAGATTGTGCAGGCTGGCATGTGGAACATGCCTCATACACTTATAGCCAAATAGCTGTATCATTTGGCTATTGCTTTCTGCCCATCGCCAGTTTCCATAGATCTTTTCAACTCTGAAAGGGGGATCTAATTCTGTGGCGAGTGGTGCCTGTCCAGGTATACTTAAGTGTAAATCCACACCATATGATCATACAGGTCTATAATGCTCACTGAAGAAATGGGGTGTTCCACAAGATTGGAAGTTGCCTCACGGGTATCTTGTTTTATATATAAGGCCCACACTATACTGTATTAACTCATGGACCATAATGAGTAAAACAATGTCTGGATTACTGCCCATCCCTCCAGTCTTTGTTGAATAAACTAGGACCATCCAGCTTTTCAAAATAGGGTTTCCTGTTCACCCATTTCACTGTTTTATGGTGTTGCACTCCTCTGAACTCCCCACTGCATTGTTCCCCCCTCTCTCCCAATGGAATACAGGAGTCCTTGCTACTTACCAGTTCCTAGCTGCTGGGGTGGTGGACCATGGAGGCTTCCTCTTGCATGTGACTGATTCCACTCAGTTGAGATTAGGGCAGTGGTATTATGTTGGTGTACATGGTGAGTACTCTCCTACCACAGACAGGAAGAAAAATTCCCAATGCTGCCTGGTTTTGGACTGGACGGATACATCACATGCAGTTCACTCCTCTGGCTGGCTTTCCCACATGCTTCTGCCTGAATGCTGGTTCCTAAGTGGATTGGTGCAGGACCAGCCAACATACGTGGTTGGTAGGAACCCTCATCCTACAGCAGACTGGATGACAAATTCCTGATGCTGCTTAGTTTTGGACAGGAGTTGACCCACCACATTTGTATGCCCCCTTCCTACCGTTGCCCAGATGTTGGGTTCATTGTGTATTGGTTATGCACACGTGCCCTGCCTGGATTGTCGGAGCAGAAGTTGTATTTTCCTTTTGCTTCCTGGTATTGAGGTAAAGATGGTTGGGAACCTCCTCTTACCATAGATTGGAAGAGAAGCACTTGATGCCACCTAGTTTTGGATTGAAGTTGATTGATTGAATATGGTCTGATGCACCCTAGCCACTCTATACCATTTGGAATGTTCAATTACAGATTAGACATGCGTCTTTTCCGCCTATTTTAACAACACGTATTTTTATAATGGGCAGAGAGTATACCCGGTGCAGATGAGGTGCGGTCTCACATGGGTGTGACCCTATATATTAGGGTATCACATTCAATGCTGAAATTGGATGTGGGGTATCGTATCAGAAGTTAACGTTTTCCTACACTGAAAATGTATTTGCGATAGATACTTACCTCTGTCACACTTCCCACCCGACCTCCCCACTTCTGGTGCGTCTTTTGTGCTTAATCTCGTAGTGGTGAGAGTGCTCTACAGTATAGAGGGAGTGAGCTGCGCTAGGATGGTATCGGATGCTCATTTCCATGCTACAGTGCAGCTATACCACGAGATATTACGTGAGGGTAAGTCGGAGTATCGAGTCTAGTGGCGAGCGAAAATTGCGTGTATAGAGGGCAGCACAAGTCGAGAAAAGCTATTATGTCA